CTCCTGGATAAGGAAAGTTTGGAAGGGCGGAGGAGCAGTGGGAAATCTGAAATATTAAGAGCACATGTTGGACCCGTTTGGTGCCATTTAAACAAAAGCCTGTTAATTTAACCCTGTGTGTGACGCATAAGTGAATCACAGTGAGTGGCTGAAACGGAGATTAAGTGTAGCAGAAAAACAATCATTACCTCAGGGCAGTGGGGGATTAATGTCTGTGTAAATCTGAGGCGTAGATGGGTATGGCACGCTTCAGCAGAACAGAAGAACCTCAGAGAGAGGATCGTTTTATTTCTCCTTAATTAATTTGAGGTTTCTGTTTTTGCTTCTGCTCCGTGACGATTTACGTTGGAGTGTAATTTATCTAAGACGTGGGTTCATATTTGAAGAATTTGAGAGAATTCCAAAGTCGTTCCTCCCTCTCATCCTTCAGGAGCCGTGGGAGACGTGGCAGCAGAGATTTATGGGCACACGTGTAAAAAGAGTTGAGTGTTTCTGCATGAGGGCAGCCACCGATGGCATTTTCATTTTGAGAGCAGGATGGCGCCAAAATAACCACACTGTGGCAGGGTGTGATAACAGCGGCTCCTGTCTTTCATCAGAGTGACTATAAGTGTGACTAACCCACTGACAATATGAGCAAATATCACAGTAAACCCACTGTTATATGAGGACATTTCCTGTTGCCGGAACACACTTTAAATTTTGATTTTTATAGTTGAAGAGGACGGATGTGGAACAAAACAGTGGCTGCTGCTGCAGAGGGAGAGTCGCTGAGCAGAGAGACAGTGGACAGACAGTGGACTGATGCTGGTTTTTATGTACTGTATGTCATCGTGGTGTTGTTATGTCCAAAAGTGACAGTAATACCTAGTTTCATGAAGTATCCATTCGCATATGTGTAGCAACTTTCATTTTTAAATGTATATTTAATTATCACATCACAGGAACAAAAATATAGAAACAAAAATACTTTAACAGAATCCTTTATTTTCATGTTTATTTTGTGTATTCTTTGCACCATTGTCTACATAGTTCCTCCTGACCATCTTCATTCATTCATTCATTCAGTTTCAGACTTTGACTTTTAAGGCTGTTGTAAATGGTGAAGTTTAACATCAAAATCCAATTTGTGATCACTTAATTTAGCTTTATTTTTGGGGATTTTCTATTAGGGTTAGGGTTAGGAACAGGAAACAGAATCTCCCAGAAGGAAAAGATAGGTAATATATAATAATGATTACAGAAAAGTTATATAAAAATAAATGAAATAACTATATGAAGTGTCAGGATAATGGGAGAGTGGTGAAGGGATTTTTAAATGTACTAAAGAAAAGAAAAACACAAAGAAACAAAGAGATGAATAATGGAAAATAAAGCACACTGGTAGATCAATGAAAGAAAATGGTATCTGATTCAGAGTAAAAAAAGAACTGATCTAGACGTCCTGACTTCTTATTAATACTTACAAGTACTCAACAAAGAGATACTTCAGTCTGTATATAGGGTGATATATCCATCATGTATTTTAGAGCTAAACCAAAAGTGGTCACTATAATCTATTCCAAAACACACATGGTGCCATGGAGCCAATGGAGAGGTGTGATGTCACGTTTCCTGGTAAAGCTCTGCTATATAAATACTGGCCTTCAACTCATTTTAATTGTTCATGGTTCACTTAATGGTACACTAGCTGTGCTGTCAAGACTTCATGTATAAAGTTACTGCACATTAGTGTAATATCTGCAGTCAGCCATGCAGCTGCAACTCCTTGAGAAGGCGACAGCCATAAAGTGACATCAAGATCCCCTGCAGACCAGACTGGGCCCAGACCCAGGCCTGGACCAGTCCTGTCTATAAAAGCAGGGCTCTAGTGAAGAATAATTGTAGCGTTCTGTCTTTGTGACGCTGTCTTTAACTCTCTGTTTTTAAACTTACTTTGTCCCTTTTTGGAACTGCTCTGCTTTAATTTCTTCCTCAGGCTAAAATAATAAATTTGTTAAGCATTGTTAACAGTGAGGTCAGAGGGTTGAGTGTGGGCGCGGTGGTTTTTTTCCACAGACCACACTGCGGCGACTTTCCTTCACTAGAAAGTCAATGAAATGAAAACTGTTGACACTGTGCTCTGTGGAAACCGTTCTGCCCATAGCAAACATGATTTTCTGAGAAGTGCTGCTCAGTGTCATGATTTTGACACAACGTCTGTTATTCTGGTTTGAAATGATGGGATTTGCTACGTAGAGAACAGCTTTTGCGTGACTGTGTTTGAGATTAGGGGTGGCTCGATGTCCGATACCAACAGAGATCCTGCAACGTAGCATGTCTGCTGATACTATTATCAATCCGAGACCTTGTGTCCTCCTCCAGCATGTATGAGGCGGTACAACGTGTAGTGCAAAGTTAAGTTGAGGGGCTAGGTATCGGATGGGCTAGGTTTTTTTTTTTCAATATTTGATCCTGAAATTCTAACCATTATTGGGCCGATACTGTTTTGCACCAAACATCCCTATTTAAGATTAAAGCAGTGTTTTTTTAACTTGGGGTCGCGAACCCACATGGGATCACCTGGATTTGAATCATGCTTTTTAAAAGAATAATAATTATATATATATATATATATATATAATTATTATTCTTTTAAAAAGCATGATTAAAAACATCACACACAATCTTAAACAACTGTGTTCTTTCACTTTCATGAATATAAATGGAGTATTTTGATTGAGGGCTGCGATCACATGACTGAGAAAACAATCTCAGAAATTTGTGATGTCAGAGTAGGAATACAAGCCAAAAAAGGTTGGGAAACTCTGGAGTAATGATTCAAGAGTAGTTTATTTTCACTGCTAGCAAACTACGAGTAGTTCAAATGAATCCAATTAAAACAAGCAATATAAATGAGTTCACATTTGAGGGTAAATCTAAGAAGCTGTTTGCAGTGTGCAAATTAAAACAAGACAATGGTTAAAATGGACAGGATCTGACATAAGACTGGCTTTAGCTTCGCACCCAGTTGGTTTGCCCTAAACTCTGCAGCAGACCCAGAATAGATGCCAATAAATGGGCACTCGTGGGCGCCATCATAAAAACAACTTTAAACATCTATCAGTGGGTGGTTTGGACAGAAGAGAACCGACCGTAGGTGTGATCACACTGTAGTCGGACAAACTTCTATCTCTGCTGCTATTTGCATATGTGTTGCATGAATCCGTATGGTCCCCTCCCACCGCCCACTCCCTCGCCACCACCTCCTTTGATTATCTAACAGCTACCCCCCCCCCCTTCACACACATACACAGACAGACACTTCTCCATACTACACTGTAGCCCTGGTATGACGCATCACGTCTCTGCTGTGGCTGTCAAGAGCCACGCGTGTCACCGTGGCTAGCATCTGCCGTCAGTGCCGTTCCTCCTGGCGCTAATTCAGTATAGATCCAGGTTCCTGGACTGGTGCCTGCCAACGGAAACCAACCTTTTCACAACAGGGGCTGCTCAGCCATATGGCACCTATAGATAGACAGTGTACCAGGCCCTGATCTGAGTATCAAGGCTGTATGTGTCATACCAACACATGAGAGGTACGGGAGATTCTGTGGTATTTTTGGAGGTTTCTACTTGAAATGTGCTTGACATTGTTGAAAGCGCTATGTTATCAAGGATTTTATATGAGTTTCTGCCTTTACCTTGACTATGACCCAAGTCCCTGTCCAGTGTTATTAAGCAAACGCAAATCACGTTTGTGAGAAATGCCTCAAGACTTGCCCGAACAACCTAAATGTATGCACAGAATAGCTAAAAGCTAGCCAAAAAAAAAAAGCTTAGGCTTAGCCTGCATTCACCTCAGTCCGAATCCCATCATTAAAAACAACATTTTAGCCAATTGAGCTGTAGCAACGAAACAGAGATGTTTGGTGTCAAGAGGACGTACAGACACTTTTCAACTGCTAACCAATTCAAAAAAGGCGATGAGAACACAGGGGTCCCTGCAGCATGATCTGAGTTTGAGTAAATCAAGGTCGAATCAGTGTCCAACTGAGTTGCGTCCTTGGATTTTCAGTTTTAAAGAAAAATGTTTTTAAGAGAGTGTTTTAAAAAAAAAAAAAAATTCCCGTCTCACTCCGTCAGCGTTGGGCTGTGGGATTCTCAAGGCTCTGAGAGAATGGAGTCTTCTGGATAATCCCAGGTCCTTTTGACACCAACACTGTAGACATGGTCACCCACAGGCAGGTCAGGCCATGAATCACTCCCTTCCTGTCTCACCAATGTTCTTTCTCTCTCTCTCTTTGTTGCCGTCCTGCTGTTTTTGCCCACAGTTATTCTTGAGAAGCCTATTCGCATCCCAAGGTCTCTGTCGGTGAAAGCTGCCAGCGTGCTCAAGGGCTTTCTCAACAAGGTGAGAGCCGTCCACTCCGAGTCTGCCCTCTAGCTGTGTGTGTGTGTGTGTGTGTGTGTGTCAGATCACTAAGTATAACAACATATTTTTGAGTTGTCTTATTGACAGCCAGACTCTTCAAGTGTATCCTTGTATGAATTCATTTATAAATAGCAGATAATATCATAGAAAAAAGTAGATAGTAGTTCAGACACAGTCCAAGGGGAATTTTAATCCCTCTTAATGTTTTTAATCATTTCATTAGTATTTTCTATAGATGTTTTTTTTTTTTCAGAAAAAAATCTTTTGAGAAAATAATTCTAAAGATGAAGTCAATATGGAAACTGGCACAACTTTACTTTGAATGGGTTTGAAAACGGGGTTGTTTACAGCACGCGACAATGTGACCTAAAGTGAAGAACTGACCCATTTAGTTTACAACTAGACAAACACATGCTGTGTGGAAATTTGATTTGATTGGATTTTGGTTTTGGTTTAAATTCTTCAATATCGACTCAGCAACAAGTAGAAATACACAAATAATTCATCAGAATACCAGATAATTATTTTATCATTTATTTTGGTAAATTGTTTTATTACAGCCACAGTATAACTTTAAAACATTATTGACCAATGAAACATCTGTAAATAAAGCATCAGCACAATAATGCTAGTACTGAACATGGTGCTGCATTGTGAGTGAGTGCAAATGGGTTCAAAGTGCACAGAGCGGTAACATTGTCTTCATCGTCCAATATTGAAGGACATCACTTCTCTGCTTCCAGCCAGCATGACTCTAGCAGCCAATCACAGCTGCCTACCACCTCACAGCAGCTCCTGAGTGTCCTGTTTCCATTTGACTTTGTTGATAGACATTGCAGTTTCCCACCTTCTGACCTCATGAAGGACTCACTGCCTAAAGACAGGTTTACTTCCATTCCAGTTAAATGTGGACAACATTCGTCCACCACAGAGATAGTATGGTCAGCCGGAGTCTTTGTCTCACTCTGTCCTCCTTTGTCCTCTGATAAAAGACAAAAACAATTACAGTGATGCGTAATATAACTATAGAGAAGGGGATTATTATTATTAGTGTTGCAGTAAATGACACAATACCTCGTCCATCGTGCTGTAACAGCTGAATGGAATAGGTGACACATAGCACATGCAGTAAAATACAAAAGTAGGAGTAAATGCTGTAAAATATAATATAATATAGAAATCTAACATATTGCAGTATGTATCTAAAAAAAAAATCATCTCCAGAAAGCTGGAATGATTGCTATTGACTGACTTTCCCTGAAATAATGCAGTTATAGAAAAACATCAATCAATCTGGGGATTGGACCAGAACCAGGTCAATGTTGGAGGACTATCAACTCTGAAGAAGAATGAGCTGGGATTTATATACAAGGACACTCGGTTGATTTAAGAAATCTCTAAATATTCAGAGCTGATTATTATCAACTGCT